TGTGGAGCACTCACAGCTCTCATGGCCTTGTCCACGTCCTCAGGGGCAACAGCTTGAAACTCAACCCAGCGATGGCCTACCAGATTATCCCCCTGTGCCTCCGCTGGATCTGCGAAATTGGAGTCCAAGTCCGACCGAAACCGAGCAACTTTGTCCGCTAGAAACTGGACGTAATCCTCAGCCCTACACTGCAAAGGATCCCCAGTATCCCTCCTATTTAGGAGGGAACGGGTTATCCTGAACAGGGCGGCTGGGCGTGACTCAGCGGAGGCAATCAAGGTGGCAATATAGGCTCTTTTTGACGTCCTGATTGCCCTGATGTATTCCTTGATGCAAGATGTTAAAAGTGCTCGGTTCGATTCGGATTTATTGGATCTCCATAAGTGCTCTAGGCGTCTCTTCCGGCGCTTCCTCTCCCGGAGTGGATGGCCCAGGCCCCCTCTCTGCCTCCGACACAGAGCCCTCATCAGAGCCTTCCCCAGACTCCAGGACTGGCCCAGCTCCACTGGTGGGCCACAAAATTTCCTTTAAAAAAATAATATCATGAGCAGGGGAAAGATTATTCACTTTAGTTTCTCTGCATGGCCAAAAACAGAGAGAAACTTACCAAAAGGACGATATCCCTTAATATGTCTGTGACTCCTTTTCCCCCCCCCTCCTCCCTCCCCTGCCGTTTTCCTCTCAGGCACTTTCAAGTTCCAGAAAGTCGATCTGCGGAAAGAAGGATATGATCCTACGGTGGTAAAAGATAAATTATTCTACTTGGACCCTCGCGAATGCCGCTATAAGCCATTGGAGGAAGAAGCCTTCGGAAAGATCCAGTCGGGACAGATCAAATTGTAAAAAAAGGGGATGCCTGTATGAAATCAAAAGGACATTTTCCCCGCCTCCTCGAAAACTCATCCCATCCTTTGGTCCGAGGACTGGGATTACGATGGGGTTGGAAAACTGGAAACAGCCAAGTCGAAATCACCATTAGTGTTTCCCGAAAAAGCCACTGCAAAAATCCATTTTATTATTA